TAATAATTATAATAAAAATAATAAAACTACACAGTTCGTATAAATATTTATAACCGACATCAACTTACATTTCTCATTCAAAAAAGAAGATTATGTTTTTTTGCCCGGATGATATTAAAATGAGGGGAAAAACAAGATAATGTCAGTTATTTTTAGTATAAAATTATACCAAAAGATAACTAACATTAACTATTTTTCTAATTTTACTACTAAGCTTAGAAGTCTTAAAGAAAATATCAGATAACATATTGCGCTTTAACAATATAACTGTTATATTTAACGGGATGTGTTTCGAAATTACCCATTACTTTAGTATGGGCATAGAAAAGTTATTTGAAGTGGCAAGTAGGTGAAAGATAAGCACCTTTGCTTTCTTACTTTTAAAAAAAATGAACATGTAATTTACTCGTAAAATACATGGACAGCATTTTAGCATTTAATGAAAGGGAGATTTTTACTTTTTACTTTTATTTTTTAATTATTAATAAATAAACAAATGAATAAAGAGATGAATAGATAAGTACATATAAGTAAATACCTAACTATATGAATAAAATAAAAAAAATAATTTATTATAATAAAGCAATAATTAATTAAAGAGAAAAAAATAATTAATTTATTTATTAAAATAAAAGAATGAATAAAAAATACATAAAATATTGATTTAATATAAAGTGATAAAAACATCAAATGGTTAAAATTTAATAAATATGCGGTTTATCAATATTATTTATATATGCAATGATGTAATTGATTGCTGTCATGAAAATCTATTGTTTTAATGCTGAGTAAATATGATAATTATATAGCCCGGTTCAGAAAGAATACAACGCTCATTCAATCAAAGTTTTATTTTAAAGTATTTTTATGGTAATATGACACATCTTAAGCTGTTAATAATTTTGAAATAATATTTAAGATTATGCGGACATTTAACAGATAACTGTTTGCTATGCATGCATGTTCCAAAAGTACCAAATAAATGTTCTAAAATATCTTTACTCAAAGAAGTTGCAAAACTTATAAGCTATCATTCTACGCTAATCGTACAATCTCTAATTGTAAAATAATGTCCATTTTACTGACAGTCGATTTTACATTAATCATTTGCTAGTAGTCAATAAATACACTGACCTAAATAATGCAAGCACTAATAGTCCAACCGCATTACGCAGAAATAATAAAAGTTAAATTATTAGTAGATTAGATACACAATTCGTGAGAAGTTCTACACTATCTTCAGGTATTTCATTGGAAAGAATGAATGCTTTTTTAAAGTAATATAATAAAAAATACCTTTCTTAGATAACAACTACTTTATGATAACTATTATGCCACACAAGTTAAACTTAAATAAATACAAACAAAAGAGTCAATATGAATACATAACTGGAAATGAAACTATTATTTTCATCTAAAAACAAAAGTATCTTAAAATGCTCGGCTGTTTTAAACCAGACTGCTATAGTCCTAAATATATTCAAAAGAATTTTCAAGATATGTTTTATTGGATCGTTTTTCACCATGTTGTTTGTGTATTTTTCCTTTGTTTATTTTTGTTGTTGTTTTAAACATTTAACTTGCAATAACATTGATGCATAGAAAGAGCTAAACGTTTCATTTTTTGTCATAAAATTTCATGCATTGTTACAGTATCAAACACAAAATAAGACAAAGTTGAGGTTACTGAACATTCATCGGATGTAATTAAAAAAACTAATTAATTTTCTTTGGAGAATTCTGATCTCATATCTTATCTTCTACAGTTTAACAGATTATCGAAAATCAGAAACAAAAATAAAAATCAATTTGAACATTGAAAGATGTTAAGAAAAAGATGTGTATCAAAGAAAGATATCAGATGTTAAATGCTAGTATCAAAATTTTAAAAGGTTAAAGGCACAATATGTCTCCGAAACCCATAATTTTAAAAAATCTTTAGATATGTCAAACATGTGTTTAATAATGTTTAAATCATAAAGCATAAGAGCATGTAAGAGGTTCAACAGTAGAGGAAAGGATCGCTGGATGTACACTTATGTGTCGTAAAGGTAGCATAATGTAAACAAAGTAGTATTTTTACTTCCATACGAAAACTTATTCACAATAATTACGTCAATCGAAAAATTGTTCTATATAGAAAATGAGTGAGTACATTTTTTTAAGAAACTGTTACAAGATACCACACATAAAAAGTGTTTCAGAAATGAAACTAACAGCATTTTTGAGGCATGACGTGACTTTAAGTTTAAATATCAAAGGTAATGAAAAACCAGAAGTTTATGGCACAATATGTCTCAGAAATCCATAATTATAAAATATTATATAATATTGCGCAATATTATACTACACAAAACTCAAAGCACTGACAAAACTTAATATTCATACATTTTCGGAATTGAATTTTAGCGAAATCAAATAATAAGTTTGATTCTTTAAATCTGTAAAATAAAATAAACAATTTCATTGTATTTTTCCTCATCAAATTCTTTGCTTGCTTTAATATAATAAAATAAGTCATACATTTATTCAAAAGTTTTAAACGATCAAATTCATTGACACAAATGAAACACATGCCTGTATGTACTTTACTCACTTTAGGACTGACAACATTTGCATGTTTCACATACTTAATCTGAAATATTCATGTTTTACCCTCTGATTTATGTGTGATATGAGTCTTATAAATACATATGACATACACTTTAATCATAACGGGGTTTTCAAGTAGATGTAATTTTACTCATGTAATTTAATGCAAGGATTAATAATAATTTTAGTATAATGTTACTTTTTATTCATAGTTAAAAATATGAACGAGTCGAAACAACATTTAAAGATCATAATATGCAAGACAAACAAACATCAACAATAAAAGTCATATGAATATATTAGAAATAGTTTATAAAGTCTTATAACATGCGTAAAGTAATTATTCTTGTATCATGTTTAAGAATGTTTGTGTATGGTAATTAAATGTAAAAATTGAAATAATAATAAGTTTACAGCAATTGAATTACAATAATCAAAATTATCATCACACGTAAGATGTTATGATTCGTTAATAGGGAACGATCTGAGATCAGCATCGTATACGTCACTGATAAGAGATTTTTTTGTTTCACTTCAGTTATTTGTACATCTATCAAAATTTGAAATGGTGAAGATTATTTATGTATGATTTCAAGTGACATTCTACTTCAAATAGCTGCTTAATGATTTAATTTACTTTATACTGCATGCATGTTTATTTAACATACTTGTATACAGTATACAATAAAATAGAAGTCATTCGTATTTTATGTCCCTGGGCTATGTCTCACGCTTAAAATAATCGGCAAATAATGTTGTATTTCTCTAATGATATTTTTTATTTACAGGGTAAAGATGTGTATAGAGGCTAGAAGAGATGGTGACATATCTTTAAATGTAGATGGTGGGAAATGGTACGATATAAAATTGGAGAAACTGAAACAAGAAAATCCAAGTCAAGTGAATGGGAGTATTCCCCCTATTACTGGATGGAACATTTTCCCGTCAGTGTTGCTGCCAAAACACTTTTTCATCAAGGACACATACACCACCACATTGTGGAGTCAGTGCAATTCATTGGACAAATAGAATCCACAGGAACTGAAAATTGTGAGAATGATATTGAGGATCTACATACTTCCAAGCCACTGAAAAAGGGGCTGGAGTATTTCAGAAGTGGACATGTGCAAGCAATGCAAGATTGTATTAAAAATGATAGTTATTTTATTAAAGCAAAAGTCATGGCCGCTTACACTATTGACACAGACTATTCTGTTCTTGTGCAAATCAGCGAAGTGAGCGGATTTGTTAAAGATGCTGCATGCACTTGTTAAGCAAGTGCGATGGGTCGTTGTGCACATGTAACTGGTCTTCTGTACGCTCTCAATGACTACATTGATAAGTTTGGTTGTGAGCCATTGTCATGCACTTAAAAACAGTGTGGGTGGAACACAGGCAGAAAGAAAAAGCGCAATCCCCAAAATATTTTCAAGGCAGAATACCCTAGTCTGAAGAAAAAAAAGGTAGACAGTATAATTGACTTTGATCCAACACCGCTTTTTCCACAAAGAAACCCTCTTCAAACACTCAGTGATTTCCTAGGTCACATTGAAAGTGGAAATGAAAGCAAATGCATGTGGGAAACAGTTTTATTTAGAGAATATGAAGACTATACCCTCAACTTAAATGAAGAGCAAAACCTCAAAGAGAATGTGGCAGCAATGATTGACAGTTTAAATGTAGACCGTTTAAGTGAATGCATTTCAAAACAAGGATCAGAAGAGTGGTTCTCAGAAAGGGTAACAGCTTCAGAAAGTAAACGAATAAGTTGTGCAAAATCTGAAAGTGTAGTTTACAATATTCTAAAGATTAAACTATGGGGACAGGGAAGTCAGACAAAGTCTATGTGTTATGGTGTGGAAAATGAAGGAAATGCTTTTGATAACTATGTAAGATATGCGTCAGAATCTAATTCAGAAATTTGTGTTAAAAAAACTGGGTTTTGGGTTAATCCGAAATTCCCGCAATTAGGTGCCAGTCCAGATGGGCTTATCAATCACTGTAACAATGAATATGCGGATGGACTCCTTGAAATCAAATGTCCAGCTATTTTGCAAAATAAGTTAGTGCAGAATTATGAAACTGTACTCTCGAAGTCTCAGTTGAAAAATTTCTGCATCTATAATCAGGATGGTAAAAATGCTCTTCAAGACAATCATGCATATTATTATCAAATACAAGCTCAGTTAGGCATTTTAGAAAGAAAGTGGTGTGATTTGTTTATCTGGGGAGGCGAAGACAACTTCCTTGTAGTTCGAGTGCAATTTAATCCAGAATTTTGGTCAAACCTAAAGGAAAAAATGATACAATTTCATTCGCATTGGCTGGCACCAGAGTATTTTGAAATGAGAATACCACGTAGACTGCTACCAAAGTATCTGTAGACAGTAACTGACACAAGAAACATGAATTAATGATGATTTTTATTGTCATTTATAAACAATATTATTACATAACACAGTCTCTGATTAGTAAAACAATTCATGTTTGTATGGAAAATCCCAAAAAGCAGATTTCAATCAAACTTCGTATTTATGTTATATATGTGATGTTATAACATTTTTGCATATTAATACTTGTACACTTTACGTTTGACATCATAAAATTGTCATTTGTATGAAACTGTAAATAAACTATACAAGTTGAAAATATCTAAATAACTTCTTAATTGTTTCTCACATATGTATTTACCATTGGCAACTATATTGCACATGTAATTAAAACAGTAAGAAACATAATGTTTGTCTTTGAATTTTGCTTTGAATTATTTCTACTGATTCATGATTCATATCTAAAAATTATCCAGACCCTTTTAAAGAGTATTGCTTTGGAGCATACATCTACAATTTCAACATATGTGTAATGTTATAACTCAATAATAGCTTAATAATATCTGTCACACTTGTTAAAATTATCACTTCACTATAGGTTCCTGAAAGTTCACTAAACAACCTACAACAAAAACAATTTGTGTAAGAACAGGCTGTAATGACAGCGGTATAACTTTTTGAAGCAATTTAAACTTTTTAATCCGTTCTATTGCACGCTCTACATGAATACGATGTTTTGCAATGTCTTTCGTCAATGCCTCTTCCTGGGGTGAGAACGACTTTCTTCCTGCTAGAAAAGGAGGAATAATTAAATCCACCTTCCGTTCATTTAACAAATCTTTAATGTTAAAGCCTCTATCCGCCATTACAGTGTCTCCGGGATTTAAGAAGTCCAAAAAACCACTTTCAACTATAATGTCACGATCGGAGATCGAACCATCAAATACATCGCTTGTAAAAACAATTGCTCCATTTGGCGCAACAGCAACAAGAACCTTGTATGTTGTATGTGATTTGTAGCTGGAGTATAAATTGCCTTGTCGGTGGAAATTTCCTGGTCGTTGACAAAAAATTCAGTACAGTCTATTACACATCTGATGTTTTTGTACTTTTTAAAGCACAATGGAACATTTTCCTGTAAATTACTCCTTTCACAAAACATGAGTTGCTTTAGAGGGATAAACTGTTTATACATAAACTGTATCCAAGTCAACACAACTTTGGAATCAGTAGACTCACCAACTCCAAATCTATATGCCAAGTCTTTTTAGTATAACCTCCTCGAAGTCGCATTAATGACAACAAAAGAGCATCTTTTGGTTTTACACAAAATTCAGCTTGTGCTGTTCTATTCCAATACTGTAAATGAGTAACAGCTGGGGACAAAAAGTTGAACAATAGAAGAAATCTTAGCCATGTTAGACCGGTGAAAAATTTACATTTTTTGTCATCATTTTCAATGTCATACGTGGAGAAAAATCTACTGTTTTTATCATTGTTACCATGGCTACCTTTATCAGAGAGGGCTTGCGACTGATCAAACAATTTTTTGTTCACTGTTGTTTTCCTACAATCCATAGATTCTAACTGAACCTTCAAAATTCTGTTTTCATTTTCTAATATCTTGTTTTGTATTTTTAATGAAATTTCTGCTGTAGCTACAGGTGTTGTCTGAGTGCACGCCTCTTGCATTTTGCTTGCAGTAAACAAGACATTTTCTGCCTGAAAAGAAAATCGTTGTCATTAGAGAATTGTTGTCATTTAAGCCACTATTTGCATGTATCATTTACAAAAAAGATTGATTATTATATTGCACAGCACACTTAAAAATAAAAAGAATAATAATAATAATAATAAGTAATTAAGAATTTCAAAGAATTTACAGTCACGAATATTTTCTTTTATTATTTACTTATTTATATATATGAATTATTGAGAAATATTGATGAAATAAAATGCATATTTTCGATTTCCGTATTTTCACTGAAGTAGAACATATTTCCGTATTTTCACTGGTGTGTTGCCGGACTAATATTTTCTAAATTCTGCCAGTACACACAATTTAAAAAGAAATCATTCAATTTATAATGACTAAAAAAGTATTAATTAAACAGAAAATTACCTCGGAACTTCTTTCAGCTGTTTGAATCCCATTAACGCAATGCCGTTTGTTAACAGGTGCTAACTCCTGATGTTTGTTCTCTTTTTCCTCCTGAATAAGACAATAATTTTCATGTTAATAATCTAAAAAAGAAATATGATAAATGATATTTTGTATTTATGCAACTTACACAAGCACATATTCAGAAATTACAATAGAAAATCTAGATGTAAATCTTAATTTTAGATACTGTAAGAATATTCTTTACTGTAACCACTGTCACCATGGACAAAATATAATATACATGTATACCTTAGAATAATAATTATATAGTTTCCGCAACATACACTGCTCTATAGAAATATAAAAATCTGGAAACAAAGTGATCCCTCGGAAACATTAATCACAACAAATTACAAGAGAATTGCAGACTCGGTTTGATTGAGTCTGTACATGAGGGATACTGAATAAGTGCAACATCCCTCACGCCCTCTAGCACCGGCTTGAGCAGTACTCAATTCTAGACATTTAATAGTGCTGGCATCAATGATCCCAAAGGACCAGAAAAATAAAACAACACTCAACTTCTCAAGTGAAATATAAACCACACTAACCTGATTACTTAAAGATAAAAGTATCTCCGCAGCTTCAAAATGGTCCACCTTGTTTAATTTTCTCTTCATGCATGTATTCTGTGAAGTAGTTTGTATATTTCGTAAAATTTTCCTCCGAGGAGTCTTTGAAATACGAGCAATCTGAAAAACAAAACTTCAATGTTTATATTTTTTTCATGACATTATTATAATGTACATGTGCATGTACTGTACTTGTTTATCGTATTGTTAAAAATGGATAATGGAAAGACAAAGTGGAATTGCTTGACTACTAAAATAATAATGAAAATTATTAATTAATTTAAATTAATACCACACATTAATATTGTGACATTCGAAATGAATTCATGTTTATAGATTATGGTTCATAAATACAATGATCAATGATTCAATCTGCTTGCTATTATAGAGAAACAAATTTCCCATGCATTATGATGTCATAATGAACATAGAATAAATTTACTTACATCATATTTAGTTGCATTTGCAGGCAACGGATCTGGGTGGTCTTCCGAGGGGCCATTTCCACCAACAAAATGTAAACTGCAAATATATGTGTCTTTTCTCACACGACTTGCATCAAAATCTCTCCGGCTACATGCATTTGCCCAGCGAATGCACTTCTCAGGCTCCCTTTTATTTTGCGGAAATCTTATGAAAAAAACATTTTCAATTCCTGGCCTGTCTGGGTATCTCGAGTCACTATTGCACGTTCCATAAGCACAGTGTTTTGTTGTCCCTTTTCTTTTCGCACTAAATTCCATTTCCAACTTGTTTTCTTCTTATAATTGTATGAAATTTCTTAAATTATTGCGTGTAAACAAAGTAGAAATTCGATGGTTAACTACATGTGTAATGTGTACTCGCTAATCTCTTGTCCGAAAATTAGCACAGGTGACGCAGTGGTTATTGGGTAAAATCTATTTTTAGAACAGTCTTATCTTCAGATCGACGGCTATTAAAATGCATAGCACACATTTGCATGACAATAAAAGAGAGGTACCTAAGAACCGTCAAATTAAATTCTTATAAAATAAAGGTAATAATTCTGCGATGCTTAAAACAAATACAAACAGAAAACTGTTATAATCAATGTATACAAAACATATAAAAAATGGTGAGTATATATATACCTGATTAATTAACAAATTCCCAAGCACTACCCGATCACCAGTCCTTGAAGTTTCAATAGCCATTTTTCATTGTTTGCTATGTTATCCTTAATAGCTCGAATCACTGCCATTCAGTGTTACATCACGTTGTTTTGTACACACTTAAACTTATACATTTTACATAACACAAGTGTACTAATCCTTGAGACTATATTACACACGAAACATTCTGGGCTAATTCTCTCTTCCTCTGCAAATAAACAGGTGTTGAATAACATTTCTTCAACGAGAGGTCATATTTCGGTTAAATCTGCGATTACAAAAATGCAGAATCCGTTCAAAACATGAAAATACCAAATGCATAGTCGTATAATAGATATTTTTGTTCATTTCAAATATTATCAGAAGATGTTTTACTGGTGTGTTTGCAATATTAATCTTAAATATACTTGGAATAATTAGAAAAAAAGATCTCATTGTAAATTAAGCATAAAAGCGTGTTTACTTTATTGAGATTAATAATAATTTGAATAATGGCATAGTAGAACAACTTTCCTTGTGTCCTATTTATAACTAGGAAAAACATAAAAATAAGTGTATAAATAACATCATGTTAAGTTTGAAATTACATGCCTCCATATAGGTAAAAATATTTCAATAAAAACAAACTTGAGAAAAATGTACTAAGATGTAAGAAAAAGTAAAAAGCTTCAAGGCGCAAGATATATTTTACATATTATGTGAAATTAATGACTGACTTTCCAGTACTTACAACTTTATTTCTACTACGTTACTAACGCAATAAAGGCTATTTATACACATTTTGTCAACTTTCGGAAATTTTTGTAGTTTGTAAGTGCCATTGATAATGTGTAAATTGCTTCATTTTGGTTACTTCACAATATTACACATTCAAATACATTTTGTTTTTAAATTTTCATCAAATAAGCATGAATCTGAAGATGCGCTGTTTTAATGCCTTTCTATTGAAACACCGGTATTGTGCTCGTTTTATGGAAAACTAATTAATTGAATTATTGTATCTAACAAAGCTCTTAATGTAAATAACTTATTGATGAAAACCTGTAAAAGATAATTGTATTACCTTATTTAATATCCTGAAATGTGATGGAAAAATAAGTGTATTTTATAAGATAATGATGTATATTATTTTTGCGTAATTGAGTTACATTGCAATAGTGTGCACGTCTTTTGGTAATATATTATGGTTTTCAAAATTCGAGTATTAGTCATATGTACCTGCATCTACTACATAAAAGCAATATTGCATGTTTTCTTATTCAGTTATATTAATTTTTACCTTTACTGATCATGCACTGAATCATTTTGTTATGTAATTTCTATAACAACAGCATAATAAATTCATATTTTTCATTTAACTGTTTGCACCAACAGCAATTTATGACAGGATAAAATAATACTGAATTTGACATCTATAAGCGGGTTATATGCTCAAATTATAATCATCTGTTCAAAGAAAAGATTTATTCTGCAGACTTGAAATTATAATAAGGAAAATATGTAAATCTTTAATTATTGCATTTAATACAGTGTGTTAAAATCACAATAAAGTAAAATAATGTTGCTGTTATTCTATGTCTTGTTATAGCCTATCTTTAAGTTTAAGACTGGATTGTGGAGGAAATTAATATCTTTAATCAATTGCACAATGCCTAAATAAGAAATATAAGAAAAGTAGTGTTAACATCAGAATTTGCTGTTTATTGTTTAAAAACACTGTTTGCAGAATTCATGGCCAGATTTCAAGGGTAAAAATACAAACAAACCTACTTGTATATTTAAGTTTTCAGAAAATATATATAAGAATCTGACCGGTGTAAGCAATGTGACAAGTGTAAAACAGTTCTACATAGCTATGAGAACAGACTTAATATACATAGTCTGCACGTTTCACTTTTTGTATAGTTTTGTGCTTTTGAGGGATCTATCCATTCCAAAACATTACAGAAAACCTAGCAATCGTTATGTTTACAGTTCTATGGTGGTTTTTGTACTACTTTAAAAAGATAGAATATTATGTAAAAGACAAATAAAGATCATCAAAGGTATCTTCTAACAATATATTTACATTAAGAAATGGGGAATACAGGCTACAATAAACAAAGTATGTATACCGTGTAAAGCATTGGTATAATATTACACCTTTTATGTATGTTCGACATCTATTTGTACAATATGAAACAGGTGGGCATCTAAATGACAGAGCAATATGTTGTGACAGTTAAATAACCAACGTCTATAACATATATAAAAAATAAATAACTAGCATTAGAATACTCTTAGTAAACTCATTCTTAGAACATGTCATGATTATCTTATTTACAGAAAATAAAAAATAAGACATTAATTGTACTTATTGTCATATTAAGAATGTGACTGAGTCATCAAATATGAAAATGTCGAAATTTGAATGCATACCAACAATAAAAGTTTAACGTCATACATTTACAAAATATTTGTATAGAAATTGAAATGAATCTTTAATTATCATATCCCGCCTTTGTAGCACGTTGTTCGAGCCCTTTTCCCATATAATCATTGATAAACTTTGTTTTGAAACTATGGGTTTTGAAAAGCACCAAGCTGTTGTGATACACTTAATTTATTCAAGCTTTATACATATACAATTCCTATTTGTGTTTTTGTTTCTTTTTAATTAGTACTGTGTCAATATAATGAAGAACAGCACTAAGTGAGCTGTTTATTTTACTTGACACTTATGTGCGTAATAATGAAAAATATTCACTAGATTTGTGTCGTATACTGGAAACACAACCGTTCTCTATATTTTGTTTGATTACAGACTAGTGGCAAAATTATTTTTTAAAACACACACCGGGAAATACACGTACAAAATCGCACATATGAGTACTTAATATTCTGACAAGACAAGTACAAAGAAACAGGAAATGAAAATTAATATCATTTCAGGTCTTTGGCAGTCAATTACATTTGTAATGGAAATATAATTATATTGAAACTTAATTTGCACTGAACATTGAAAGTATGGTCAGTTTGATATGTTAACACTGACAGAAAATAACAATCACAATACTCTACGATAACATTGCCTGAAATAAAACTTTTTCACACGTCATCTAATTATTTGTCGGTTTTAAGAAAAACTGAATGCTGCTGGCACTCCTCAATAAAGATCACTATACATATACTCTATATATATAGCGTTTTTTTCGTGGGGATGCCATTATCAACCCTTTATGAGCTTCGTCCAATTCTTTACGGTTATAAGATAGTTTTATCGCAATAGTTTATCCAAATGTATAAGATAGAAATCAAGAAAGAAACAAGAAATTTATGTATGTTTTTCCAAAGATTAACATATAAGTCAAAACTGGTTTTAACATTTGTTAGTAATTCAAGTGTTTTAACTTTGGATTGATATATGGACCCGTGGAAGACAATTGTTTTTGATGACTTACATTTAATGAATAATGTTTGCTTACTTTCCTTAGTGCTAGCTACCGTTATAAATTTGAAGCTGAATCACCGACCATTTATTCAGTATTTGCCTAATATATTCTCCAATTTTTTCATGACTGTAAATATGGTCTCACGTTATTACAAGCTGCAGCTAATAATTAAAAGCTAACATAATGAATTTCGACCTCCGTCCTACAAAAGGATCATGAAATTATGATTCACACGATATCATGTGCTAATGCCATTCCAACATTGAAATGTATATGTTTTATTGTGCATATTTTGCTTTAATCTGTATTTTTCCAACAACATGCTTATCTTCTTGTCAGATTTATATTTCTTATATTTGTATTTAAATTGATCGGTAAGTTGTGCACAGAAACATAAGCAACACAATTATTTTCCGTTGAAAGTATTTAAAAGAAAAACGTTGTTGTGAATTGAAGACTTATTGAAAGTATTTATGTAACTTACATTGTATAATATTTAACATAAAAATTTAAAACATTATCTATACAAATGTTGACATGAAAACGCTATCTATAACTGT